AGATACCTCATCCATTTTCCAGTTGCACTTTTTTCATCTTGGTATTTTTAGCCAATCCCAAACTCTGTATTTTTCTGTACCAAGCTTGGCCAAGATGAAACCTACATCCAATGATCTTTGTGGTGGGCCATTGCGCAGAAATTGCTTTGTGAATAGCTAGTTCATAATCAGCTACAATAATTTTTGGAACAAATATTAAACTAGCATTACAACACTTCTCTTTAAGAATAACGAAAAGTCTTTCGTATGTTAAACGAAGTTTATTCGGTAATAAACAAAAAGCTACTGGTATATAATGGCCGTTTTCTACGATATGAAGTGTGAACAACTGTAAAAAATGTTTCGTACAATATCGAAATGTTCCATCAAGATACACTTTGTCACTACTACACAAAAATTTTAAATTAGTATAGCACGAAAATACTACAATATTGTTAATATTATCAGTGGCCAAGAGAAATGGTTCATTTTTAATTGTTGTCAAATTTAATGTTGGTAAAATATCGAAAACATCTGATACATTGCTTGGTAAACGTGCTTGGACTTGACGTCTTTTGTAATAAATATTATTTCTTATGTATGTAATGTCTTTTCTTGTCAAAGCGTCCATTGTATCACTGTTTTCCCTTAAAACAGAGTGTATGATTTTCGATGGCCGTTCTGTGATATCTTCTACAGCTTTCCGTTTGCTTGCTACACTCAAAATTTGTCTATTTAATTTCTTTATGTCATTTTCATGATTGTGCACTGTTTCTTTTCGAGAAATTATATTATCTGAACCTAGCGTAAATACTTTTGCGTTACATTTACTTACAGTACAAGTCCAAAACTTTTCACCACTTTTAAGAACCTTTTTTTCACGAAACTTATAATCATCCCACACAAGTAACGACTTTCCCTTTTCACTTAAGATCATTTTAATTTCACTCATTTTTACAAGACTGCTCAAAATAAACTAAACACAAAACACTCACTTCAAATATATATTAGAATTTCGAAAGTAAAGTAATAAAATGCTCGTTAACGCAATGAATCATCATTACAACCTTAATCCCTAATCCGCAATTCGGTGCACTTACTATAATTATTTCTCAGAAGCCTGGTCCTCAATTCGTGTCATATTTTCAGGTACAAAAATAAACCCTTCTTAATATTTTCATTTTGGTTCTCAATTCGTGTCTGCCCATCAAACCAATATATAAAGATGGGGATAAAAGTGAAATATCAAATTACAGACCTGTATCATTAATTTATAATATTTCGAAAATTATAGAAATAAATTTTAAAATTCCGATTAACAAGTTTTTTGAAAGCCAACGACATAATCAGTGACCAACAGTATGGCTTTAGAGAAGGTAAGTCAACAGAAGATGCAATTTTAAAATTAACTTCAGAAATATATAATGCACTTGATAAAAGAACACCTGCTCTTTGCATATTTATAGACCTCTCTAAAGCATTTGACACTGTTATAACAAAGAGAAGCTTTATTCGTATAGTTTAAGAGGAAATACTTATAGTCTAATAAAAAGTTACTAACTGATAAAACTTAAACTGTTTCAATAGACAATGTTGTCAGCAACAAAAAAAAAATGTTTTTTATAGTGTTCCTCAAGGAACAGTTTTAGGTCCCATCCTGTTTAAGAAATACAATTAGTTTCGCCGATGACACTGCCATTTTATATAAAGAACAGTCTGTTCGCTATACTTACGCGGGTTTCGGATTAAAAATTTTATGAGTATTTCCAGGTAAGTACCCGAAAGTTTGACGTGTTCTTTGGGGAAATATCAACTGGTTAAATCAAATGAAAAATATTGTACAACTTTTTAATTAAATAATAATGGAGAATCTTTTGTATAATTGAGAGCAGAATTAAACTTTTTCATTAATGGAGTCTAATGTAGCTATTATAAACCTAATAATAATTTTATATTACACTTCACACAGAAAATATGGTCTATGTATAATAAGGAGTGATATTTAGCTCAAATAAAATATTTTCTAACATAAAAATTTGTTCCATGTAGAGAATTTTAAATGAAAAATAAAAAAATTGAACTTGCCAACAAAAATGGAAATCAGTCATTATCATCTAAAATAGCATCACTGTCATCACCATCAATTATTGTTATTATGATTGGACTTATTTCGTTTATTTTATTTTCACGAGCCCACCAATCTTCTATTAGTTTCTCGCACTTGGATATACAGTTCCGGCACACTTCTGGAGTTGCAATTGAAAGTGCTTTTCGCCAAGTTTCCCGAACTGCGTCGTCACTATAACCATTAGGCCCAATATGGTTGTCATATCATCTCATTAATTTTTGAACAAAAATAACATAATTTCAAAAAAGCAATTCGGCTTCCAAAGTAACAAATCAACTGAGGATTCTATAGCGGAGCTTACAAAACAAATGTACACATCAATGGACCAGAGTAGACCATCAATCGCTGTGTTCCTGGATCTTGCCAAGGCCTTTGACACTGTTGACCATCAACAGTTGTTGGAAGCCTTGGCAGATGCAGGAGTAAGGGGTAGTGCTTTTGAGCTTTTTAAAAGTTATCTGTTGAATAGAAAGCAATGCGTACAAATAGAAGAACACATGAGTAGTGTAAAGAATGTAAAATGCGGGATACCCCAAGGCACAGTACTTGGCCCAATTCTGTTTAATATATATATTAATGATTTATTATCATTAAATAATAAGGGCCAGGTACTTAGCTTTGCCGATGATACCGTTGTTTTCTATTCGGCAGATACGTGGAAGGACTTAAAGGTATTAGTTGAGGATGACTTAAAACTCCTTTTTAATTGGTTTGATCATAGGCTTCTTACTGTTAATTATAATAAAACACACTTTTTATCTCTAACAAGTTACGAAAACAATCTTCCTAACTATAATACTCTAAACATAATATATAATAGCAAAAATATTGAAATTAAATCAGAAAAAAAAGTTAAGTATTTGGGTATCACAATTGATTGTCACCTAAGGTGGAATCATCATATAAATAAGGTAGTTAATACATTAAGAACATTTCTAAATAAATTTAAATATCTTACAAATATCCTGGATTTACCTTACCTAAACATGTTATATTATGCTTTGGTGGAATCGAGAATAAACTATGGAATCATTGGCTGGGGTGGAGCAACTAATGTTTATCTAGAAAAAATTGAAACTATTCAAAAATTATTCTTAAAAATTATTTATAAAAAAAATCGTACTTACCCCTCGGACCAACTATACAAAGAATTAAAAATATTAGATCCTAAAAAACACTTTTTCCTTAAAATTGCCAACTACTACTATAAAAACCCAACTAGCCTTAATATTGTTACTCATGAACACGAAACAAGACGAAAAAACAAAATTAAATATAAAGACTTAGCATCTCGCAAAACTGTAGGCCAAAAATGCCACTTCTTCTTAGCATCAAAAGTGTTAAATTATTTACCTCCAAAAATTCTAAAATCAAAATCATTATCGCAATTTAAAACAAGAACAAAAAAATTTTTATTAGAAGAATATAGAGCAAATATCAGAAATATTATTGATATGAATATCGATAGATAAATGAAAAATAAAAAAAGAATAAAAAAAATTTATTAAAAAAAAAAAAAATAAATAAAATAAAAAATAATGAAAATTAAAAAAAAAAGCGGCAAATTTATCTATTATTATTATTATATGTCAGTATTTGTATTATATTAATTAATTGTAAAATAAAACATAAAATAGTACTTAACATATCTCTACACACGCCACGGACAGTTTTTATACTTTGTGGCAATGGGTAGTTTATTTGTATGTACCTAAAAAAAAAAAAAAATATTTATATTATTAATAAAAAATGTATTTAAAAAAAAAATTATTATATTTAATTTTTTGTACATTTTTCAAATAAACTTTTATTATTATTATTATTATTATTATAATATTGTTTTGCTATTCCCCATATATATTCGATGGGATTAAACTGGCAATGATACGGTGGCAGACGTAAAACTTGATGACCGTAACTTTCAATAATCTGATCCACAACAAAGGTTTTTGGTTTTGCGTGTATATTTGCCAAGCGTAATAATTTTGACTTAAATATATATTGAGGAAATGGTATATGTTCCTTTGTCAACCATTCTTTAATTTTATCAACAGTCCAAGAATTCGTTGGACTTTTGTTTAATACTTCAGAATGGTAAGGTGCATTGTTCAAAATAATTACGCTGGGCTCATTTAAACCTGGGAGAAGTTTTTCATGCAACCATTTTACAAACATTTCTGTATTCATATTATCGTGATAGTCACTGGATTTTGATTTAGATGAAAATATTAAATCAGAACCTTCTATAAAACCCGATTTCCCTCCTGCATGTAAAATTATGTGTCGCTTCCCTTCTCCATCGGTATGTTTGATGGACTTTACGTTATCATCTTACCATATTCTCTTGGTTGCACCCTTAGAAAATATCCATGTTTCGTCTAAATATATAAAATTCGCCCCATCTTCTTTAAATTTAGAATATTTTCTTAGAAAGTTAATTCTCTTGTGCACGACAGAATTTCTGCGGTGTTTCATGTTTATTCGTACCATTATGTATTGTATTTTAATAGGTTTGTACTTTTAAATATTTGAATAAACATATTATGATTATTATTATTATATATTATTAATTGTATCTTTTATACAAACTAATTCAAAAAATAATCTTTTCAAATACCACTTTACTTTTTAAATTTTTTCTATTAATTTTAAAAAACTCGTATATTACCTTTTATAAGTTAGTTTGACCATGATAATAAGAGTAGAAAATTTAGATAAATAAAAAATAATACCTAATTAAAATATTTTTGATGGTATTTACCCAAGATTTAAAACATTTTATATCATAAGTTGGATGTTTTGTATATTTACTTCGAATATCCTACCAGTCTACTTATAACTGGTAAAAATGATTTTATTAGGAAGACATTAATCTTCTTTACATTTTTTGCAGATAATGTGAAACTTGAGTGGATGTGATTCATTTGCGACATGATAAACTGTTATCATTGAGTTATTCGACCTCTTATCCACAATCAACGTTTCTTCGCAGATCGACAGTACGATTTGAGACGATGCTTCTTAGAATAAAGAGAACCATGTGAAAATCCAGGTAAAATAAAAATTATACTTAAGAGCGTACATACAATTTTTCGGGTATAGGAGTTTCAATGCTATCCTTTTTCCCAAAATATGAAAAACTAAAGAATATTTTAAAAAAAATTAAAAAGTACAATAAAGAACATGTTGATATCTAGAGAAGTGTTGGCTTGACAACATCGTAATAATTTTTTTATGGAAACACAGGGCGGTTGAAAATTGTTAATATAACAACAAATTTTCATTTCATAAAAATAATAAGTCAGCTTTTTTTGTTTTCTATATAAATCATCTACTTTCCAAGGTAATAAATCAGAAGGAAAATCACCGAAAACCGATTTCAAAAAGGTCTATTAGTTTTTTTAGAAAATGGAAAAAGAAACTACGCTTTTTTTTTAATCGAGTTAAAATTCTTTACTAATTTCGCTCTTTCTTCCACGATGTCCGGTCTCCTTCTTGTTTAAAATCGATAAGTATAGACGGATTAAGGTATTTTGTACCTTACACGGGCATGTTACTACATTTGAAATAAAACATTTGTGAATGTTAAAAAATTTAAGAAAGATTTTGTAGAAAATAAATCTTTTTATAAAAAATTAGTAAACTTTGCTGTGTAAATATGTATATACGATATTCTAAAAGGTAAATCATTTTTTCTAATATAATCTGGATTGTTCTCTAAATATATATACAGTGCCTCGCAAAAAGCCTGCTGTATATGAAAAACTTTTTATTGTCACTTTTTTCAGAAAATGTTATTCCTGATAAAACTTGGTGTTTAATTTTCTTTATTTTAAATATAAATACATATAAATTTGAATGCGCAGTGAACTAGGAACCCACATTTTTACATATAAAATTAATTTAATACAATGTATATAAGCCCATATAGTACTTTTTAGTTAATAAAATTAATCTAGTTTATTATATACTTTTTTACGTAGATTAAAAAAGTTTAAAAATTTGGTGCTTTCTTGATGCGTCGTATGATTTCACTTTGTATATGTTTAGGTAAAGACAATTAGGCATTCCAACGACCTGTCCAAATGGCTACCAGCAGGGACTGACAGTTTAGATATGGCAGCCATGTTGTCATGTTGTCATTAACAGGGTCAATGATACATATATAAATATATAGATTGCTCAAAGCTGGTCGTTTGCGAGCGGCCATATTGCCTGGTAAATATTTATTAATTTGAATCGGTTTATCAAAAATGTGTTTTAAAATCAATTTTCAGCCTTTAGATATTAAAAAAATAATAATTGCTTACATTTTTACTTCAAGGCAATAAGCTTATGTTTATTTTGAAAAATATGGATTATCAATCTATGTAACTATCTATTTCATTGACCTTGTCAAATCACCAGGCCTACAGGGTTGCCATAATTTTGCCATATCATAACCTGTCAAAACCCACTGGTAGCCATTCAGTTTGGAATGCCTAATTATTGATACTGACAGTTTATTTTTAAATCATTCCAATAATATGTTGTTAGTCCAAAAAAGGCAAACAAAAAAATCCTTGCCCATACAGTGTAAAAATAAAAATTAAATATATAAATATAGCATGTTATGTATTAATGGACTGAGGGAATAAAAACGTCACTTTAGTCCCTAAAATAAAGGAGTAAATTGCATGTTTTAGTTCCTTTGGTACAAAAAATATTTATTTATGTAACAAGTATGTAAAGTTACCCTTTTTTGACGAATATGAATGTTGTCGCACTCACCTATGGCTTGTGCGACAATCACATGAGTCAAAAAAGGGACTTTACATACGAGTTGCATACAATATTTTTTCTACTACCGTACACATTATCTACTAATATTAGCAATATAAAAGTTACTTTTTTCACTAGTGCGTAAAGTACATAGTTATTTGGCTTTAGAAATTAATCTCTAACTTATACTTTTGTCGTGTTCTGTGATGTTATATTAATAAAAGTTTAGAGAATGACAGTTCTTCTAATCCACAGCCTATTCACTTTACCAAAATCGACATCCACGGTTTGTTTACTTTTAATTAAATCGATGAAATTTAGAGAAAATTATAATTAAAATAAAAAACTGTTGATAATTTGTTGGGGACTAAATAGATATAAGCAAAAATAATTTACCTTTTTGTCATAAAAGGATATAGCATATAAATGGTAATATAAAATAAAACGTTATATTTTGTTGCTATGTACAATTTTTGATACATTTTTTTTTTCACTAGTCCGTAAAGAGTTTTACACTCCGTGGAATGCGTAAAGTAAAATTTGACAATTATTTTTTTTTCGCTGGTGCGTAAAGTAAAGTAATTTACGCACTAGTGAAAAAAATTAACTTTTATATTTCTAATATTAGTGGATAATGTGTATGGTAGTAGAAAAAAATATTATATGCAACTTGTGTGTAAAGTATTAAGATATTAAACACATTAGGTTACAGAATACTTTATGAACACTATCATTGTACTAGTAATAGCTTATTTGAGCATGTATGTAAGCTATTACATGTTGAGTGTACTACGGCTATAAATAAATTTTTAAATAAATGCTTTACAGATTTCTTCGTACAAACCCTAAAAATTATAATAATATTTAATTATAGTACATTAAATTACAATAAATTATTTATTATTTACAATTTCTTCCAATAATATTGTTAAATAATGGTTCGAAATAAAAGTTCGTTAATTTTGACAACATTTCCCTCCAAAGGTTCTGGTCCCTTTCAATTCTTTAATACAGAATAATTTTTGGTGTCCATAAAGTAAAATAACAAAATTTTCTTTTACACACATGAAGTTGACCCTGCACTTGATAATAGTATGGGTGTGTTTTTTTCAACCTACAGTTACCGTTAACTTTTTCCATATATTTAAAAATAGCCTCTTCTGGTGTTTAATTTTTCGCTGAAGAAGGACATTTGACTTCCACCAAAAGGTTTTTACCGATTAAGCCATCTGGAGGTGCAGCCAAAAATGAATATTCGAAATCTATGAAGATTCCTGAGTTGGATATTTCGCTATCTAAAGATTCTCTCAACTTCCTTAAAGCTCTGTCTTCATTTTCTCTACCATAATTAGTATTTTTATTGCCAGAAAATGTACCTTTTAATATGTCCATGGCAACTTTATTTTTATTAGTAGATTTCCGAAGTCTACAAATTCGTCCAAAATTTGAGGCAGTTAATCTTTTTCGTCGCTCCTCAAACCACTCATCGGATTTTCTTTGGCTTAAGGTTTTCTCAAAAATATTTTGTGCTTCTACTCGTATGCTGGAAACCTTTAAATTTTCAAGAAATTGATGCTTAATTTTTTTTAATTCATCGGGGTTAATTTCCAAAATTTGCTTCGCATTTGGGCCATAATGTTTATCTGCTAGTTGTGATGGTCTCTTCTCATGCTTTTTAAATTTTATTCTTTTTTTAAGTATTAGTTTTCTTTTTTCCACATTACAAAGAATTTTTGATACACATTTTTTTGTGTACTGACCAGGACTTTTCCATGTAATGTTTTTATGGAATGAGGAATGGTATAGACCTTTAGTGTTATACGATAAAGCTGCAGCATGACATCTTAGTTCATAACTACCTCTTGACGTGTAACTAATTCGTTTCCCGCCTAAAAATTTTGCAATGACGTTTTTATATTGATCTGCGAATTGCTATTAAGGTTTTTAATTAAACTATCCGCATAGAATTTTATTCTTGATATAGATAACAATATATATTTCATCATTCCGCATTCTGTCAAGTCAACTGTGTAGTCTGTATTCTCTTCATTTCCTAACTTTGTACAAAAGTATTTAGAGCAGTTCTCGTGCTTACCAAATACATGATATGGGCTATCAGATATGTCATGCTTTAGACTAGCTATTCACTAAATTAAAATATAAAAATATTATAAACACCCTTATAACAAAATCTCACAATGCACCAAGAAGAAACTAAATGCGGTTCTGGTTTCCCTAATTCAGGTAACTCTGACTCATTCAGGACCTCTTGGACGTCGGCAGCCGTTGTAGGGAAATAATATATGGGATAGAGTACACGATTTCGAGTTCGAACGTTAAAATTTTGTAGGTACGCTCTTAAAACTCTTTCACTTTTTTGTCACGAGCTCTATGTCTATAACTCTAAGGAACTCAATGACATTTGCTTAAACACACAATGATCGTATTATTTAACCACTTAATGATGCCATTACTATTTTTGTTCTATTGTAAAAACTGTTTTATTTGCTCTTTTAGACCTGATGATGGCCCTTGAGCCGAAACCAGTTGCCATTTTGATACCTGTAATATTTTTTTTCTGTTTGTAGTGTTGTCTTAATATTTTTAGGATAAGATGAGTTTGTTATTCTAATTCATGTTTTTGTTTTAATATAATTCAAAAACAAAAAGAACAAGTGCTATATCCTATTATGAATAAATGTAGAATTATAAATATTAATAAGGAACAGGACACTCTTGGTCCACATTCCACATGAAAATAGGATAATTCTCGAAAGAGATATAGATAATTTCGCAGTGCTAAAACTTTTTTAAAATAAAGATGTTAAAAAGCAATTATGTTCTGTATATAAAGAGTAAACAAATTTCTACAAAAATCATTCGTTTGTTTATCAACAATTAATATGCCACATGTAGGCGCACCGTTTAACTAGGTTATGTATACAGTTAGTAGCAAAAGGTAGTAAAAGCGACGAAAACTATAAACAACTCAGAAACTGAAAGGTTACTTTCAAAATCAACAAGGAAACGTATCCGCACTGAATACAGGGTTTTCAATTTTTTATTAGCTAAAAAATAGATTATTACATCTTTATTGAAAATGAAACTTAAAGGTTTAGCAATAATGTTTAAAAATAATATCTGATAAATGCCTTATACTCTTTAATTAAAATTTTGCATCATCTTTTCAGATAATCATTGTTTCTATCTTTCCAATAACTCAAATTATTTCGGCTTTTAAATCAAGAATCGTTTGTGGATTGTTTCTGTAGATCTGGATTTTCATGTAGC